ATGCCCCGAAGGCATTTTCTCCTGACATGTTGCCCACATCTATGGCAGGCATCTTCAGGGGTTGTGAGGGCTTTTGGAGACTAAGCAAGTGAGGTTTATATATCTGGTGGAAGAAAAAAAACTCTTGTCTGCTTGAGGCAAGTGTGAATGTTTCAGTTGGCCACCTTGATTAGCATTTAATGGCCTTGCAGCTTCAAAGCCTGGCTGGTTGCTGACTGGGGGATCCTTTGATGAGAGATACTAGGCAAGTGGGATTTATATTTTTAAAAACTCTAAAATCAGGATATTAATAAAGAGCAGTACTCAAAAAACGGGAATTCCAGACAAGAATCAATCAGGGCCAGCTAATCACCTCCCAACTAAGGATGTGGAAATGAGCATTTGCAAGACTCTCAGACTGCGTTCCTTCAGCTCTTTGGTGTCGTTGTCACTGTCCGGCTTTTCTCAGTCCACTTTGGGAGCTGGACTGTGGCTCTTTGCCAGGGACGTGGCTGCCTGTATGGAGCGGGGTGTGTCCCCCGGTATTTCCTGAAGTTATTCTTTTGCATTTCCCTTTCCCCCTATTAATAGACTCTGAGCCTGCCTTAAGCTGTGTCACTAAGGTGGTTGGAGGCGAGAGGAAGTCCTTCCCTGGAAAGGAAACATTCTTGGACAAGGAATAAACTCCCAGGCAGCAGGGACCCCAAAATGATGCGGATGAAGGTGGAGGAGCATGGGAAGGGACAACTTTTTCAAAAAATTATTCTTGAGCTATATTAGTCTGAATGCCCTGCAATAGATAAATCTGGGTGTAATCTGGCTTGGGAACAGTACATATGAAACAGATCTAGGATTCTTAATAGACCACAAGTGGAACATGAGTCAAGAGTGCGATAAGGCAGCTTAAAAACCCCAATCTGATTCTAGACTGCATCCATCTAGCAGATTGAAAACAGCAATATGAGTTGTGCTGGTACAGCTGTACCAGGAGCTCCAATTTTGTTTGCTTTGCATTGAATGTTTGTTTGTCCTAAGTTTCAGGGACTCTGCAGATAGGTGGCTTCTTTTGGCTGCAATCATAGGGCAAGCCACCTGTCAATTATCATTGGGTTCCCTAGCTCCGCCCCCCTTTTGGGCTTTGGAGGGAAGGGAGCCATTTCTTAGTTAGTCTCAGCTAGGAAGTCAATGTACAGGACGTGTACAGACTTTCTCCTGTACAAAGGCTTCAACCCTTAAGACTTCCCAGGGGAGAACAGTCTTAAGAGCATCTAAAGATTCCCAAAGGTTCCAGGGAAACAGCCTTACAGCCCTGAGGAATTTCGGAGGGAATAACAGCTTTAAACATCAAGAACTCCAGCTAAGTGACTACAGGCCTACTGGTAGGTCCACTCGGTTTTGAGACGCAGTTCAGCCCGGTAGTGGATCCACATCAGTTAGGTTTAGGTTCACAGTTAGCCTGGGAGGAGCTAGAAAGGGATTTTCCTTTAAAGTAAAACAAAGAAACAGTTAGAAGCCACCAGTTGCTTGAAGCCTGGAAGCATTTGTTTAACCTTTTGAAGACAAAGAAGTTTCTCTTAATTGTTCACCAATAAAGACTTTGTTATATTTCACAAGCCTTCTAAAGACTGTTTATGGTGAAGATCCTTTAGAATTTCTCTTCGGGCCCCCTGGCTTCCCGTTGGGCTAAAGTTGCACGTCCTGTTTTAAAGGCAATTCGTTTAAGGCCCAGTGACAGAACAGTCATGAGGAGGTTTCAGAGGGGACACCAAAGACCATCAGAAAACACATATTTCTGATGGTATTGGGAACCCCTTTGGCAGAGAAGGCTGGAGATCTCTCTGCCTGACCTTCTCTTCCTTTTTGGAAACAGACGGCAAATCTTGCTACCAAAAACCTTCCTCTGCTGTGATTGGCTGGCCTCTCAGCCAGCCTCTCAGTCAAGGGAAGGGCTGTTTATGAGACTCCAAGTGGGGAGAGCAGGCATGCTTGCTGTATTGTGACTCAGCTGGACTCACAGAGTGTGGAATCACAGAGTGTCTCTGATGAGGATGATGGGACTCAGGTTCACAGTCTGGTTCAAAATGTCCCTGTTATAGACAGTGAAGAAGTGCAGTTTCCCACAGCAAGGAATGAGAGTGTTGATACTGAAAATAGCCAGGTGCAGGTGCGGATTGACTCGGAGAAGGAGGACAGTTCTCAGCCTGATAATGAGCAAGCAGGGAAACAGGCTGACGCTAACGAACAGACTGGCCTTGACAAAATGGGAAACTTAGATCGGGCTGACCGTTTGGAATTCCAAGTCTGGAATGTGTCCAGAGGAGGGAGACTAAAATGATCAAGGGTCTGGAGAACAAGCCCTATGAGGAGCGGCTTAGAGACTGGGCATGTTTAGCCTGAAGAAGAAGGCTGAGAGGAGATATGATAGCCATGTATAAATATGTGAGAGGAAGCCACAGGGAGGAGGGAGCAAGCTTGTTTTCTGCTTCCTTGGAGACTAGGACGCGGAACAATGGCTTCAAACTACAAGAAAGGAGATTCCATCTGAACATTAGGAAGAACTTCCTGACTGTGAGAGCAGTTCAGCAGTGGAACTCTCTGCCCCGGAGTGTGGTGGAGGCTCCTTCTTTGGAGGCTTTTAAACAGAGGCTGGATGGCCATCTGTCAGGGGTGATTTGAATGCAATATTCCTGCTTCTTGGCAGAATGGGGTTGGGCTGGATGACCCATGAAGTCTCTTCCAACTCTTTGATTCTATGATTCTATGATGATAAGTCACTTCCAGCAAAACTGACAAGAGAAAAAGAAAAAGTGTATCAAAGTATTGTCGAAGGCTTTCATGGCTGGAATCACTGGGTTGCTGTAGGTTTTTTTGGGCTATATGGCCATGTTCTAGAGGCATTCTCCTGCATCTATGGCAAGCATACCTCTGAGGATGCTTGCCATAGATGCAGGCGAAACGTCAGGAGAGAATGCCTCTAGACCATGGCCATATAGCCCGAAAAAACCTACAAACCCGGTTATTTTCTTGTTTTAAGGGAACACTTTGTTTGAGACCAAATCTTTGTCAACGCAACTTTGCACTTATCAAAGAAGCTTGGCTGGATTATCTTGCAGTTCTTGTGTTCATGGTTTCAGGACTTTGTCATGTTCTCTTGGGTTTTGCTTTGCTGGTGCCTTTTTGGATTAAGCTTCAAAGTGCTATATTATATTGATCTTTTGGAACATTAACCTTTGCCTTTAAGAACTTTTTACCTTTTATTTTTAATAAACTATAAAGACTTCTGGCTGTGTGCAGTTTGGTGTTTTTCAGCAAGGTGAATCTACTCTGAGGTGCAACACGCTGCATGGCACAATGGTGCACATGTGCAGGTGATAGGAGAGTATGCAAGATTGGAGAGAAACTCACACCTGCAAGTCCCTTCAAAACTTGGGGGTTCTGTGTAGGAAGTTTGGCCTATTCGATCATTGATGGGGTCCAGAATTCTCTTTGATTGTAGGTGAATTATAAATCCCAGCAACAATAACTCCCAAGGTCTATTTTCCCCCAAATCCACCAGTGTTCACATTTGGGCATATTGGTTATTTGTGCCAAGTTTGGTCCAGATCCATCATTGTTTAAGTCCACAGTGCCCTCTGGATGTCGGTGAACTACAAATCCAAAACTCAAAGGTCAATGCCAACCAAACCCTTTCAGTATTAATTGCATCATGGGTGAAGTTCAGGTTTAATTGCATCGCGGGTGAAGTTCAGAATGCTCTTTGATTGTAGGTGAATTATAAATCCCAGCAACTACAACTCCCAAATGACAAAATCAATCCCCCCACAATCCCACCAGTATTCATATCAGGTATTTGTGCAAAATTTGATCCAGTGAATGAAAATACATCCTGCATATCAGATATTTACATTACGATTCATAACAGTAGCAAAATTATGAAGTAGCAACGAAATTAATTTTATGGTTGGGGGTCACCAGAACATGAGGAACTCTATTTTTGCCAGGGAACTGGGAGATAGCTGGAGTGGCTATACTTATTATTATTATTATTATTATTATTATTATTATCATGTTCAACATGTGGTCTACTAACTTCTAGATCTGGATTGTTGCAGGTTGCATGGCCATGGTCTAGAGGCATTCTCTCCTGATGTTTCAAGTGCATCTATGGCAAGCATCCTCAGAGGTAGTGAGGTCTGTTGGAACTAGGAAAGTGGTTTTATATATCTGTGGAATGATGTCCAGGGTGGGACAAAGAACTCTTGTCTGCTGGAGCTAGGTGTGAATGTTTCAACTGACCACCTTGATTAGCATTTGATTGCCTGGCAGTGCCTGGAGCAATCTTTTGTTGAGAGGTGATTAGATGTCCTTGTTTGTTTCCTCTCTGTTGTTGTGCTGTTCAGACTTTAGAGTTTTTCAATACTGGGTAGCCAGATTTTGTTCATTTTCATGGTTTCCTCCTTTCCGTTGAAATTGTCCACATGCTTATGGATTTCAATCGCTTCTCAGTGTAGTCTGACATGGTGAAAATCCACAAGCATGTGGACAATTTCAACAGAAAGGAGGAAACAATGAAAATGGACAAAATCTGGCTACCAGTATTTAAAAACTCTAAAATTAAAACAGCAAAGGGAAAACAATCAGGGACATCTAATCACCTCTCAACAAAAGATTGCTCCAAGCACTTCCAGGCTATCAAATGCTAATCAAGGTGGTCAGTTGAAACATTCACACCTAGCTCCAGCAGACAAGAGTCCTTTGTCCCACCCTGGTCATTCCACAGATATATAAACCCCTTTTCCTAGTTCCAACAGACCTCACTACCTCTGAGGATGCTTGCCATAGATGCAGGCGAAACGTCAGGAGAGAATGCCTCTAGAACATGGCCATATAGCCCGAAAAAACCTACAACAACCCAATGTCTAGATCCCTTTTACAGTTTCTGTTTTCAAGCCAGGTTGGCCATTTCAATTTTTTTTCTTCCATAAATTTCCCTTTGTTGAAACTTTGCATCTTTTTATTAGGAGATGCCTCCACTGCTTCAGCTGGAACTACAAAAAGTGGGCCCACAGCAGCTGCGACCACAGTCAAACCCAGCCTTGCACCTTCTGGAAGCCCTGCTTCTTCAACACTCCAACAAACAACTTCAAAAGCTCTCCTCGCCACTACTGCCAGTATGACCACAGTTAAGAGTGTCCCCTCTTCCACCACAAAAGAAACACAGAAAACCACTTTGGGTGCCTCCACAAGAGCACCCACTACATCAGCATCGACCGGTATCAAACCACCTTCTTCATCTGTGTCGAGCAAAACTACGGGGGCAGCGAGCATCACAACGGCTTCTAAACCACCCACAATCCCACCAACTTCATCTCCCGCTGGTCCAAAAGGAACAAGTCCATCCATTCTGCCCAGCAGTGATTCATCTGGCAGAGGGACGACGAGACCTCCTCCAACGTCTTCGCTGAAGAGCACATTATCTGCTGTTGTCGCCAAAGGTATTTCCCCATTGAGTCAAAATTGAACATGTTAAGAAACCCTCCTTGCCTTTCCTCTCCTGTACTCTTGATGGAGTTTAGACTTTGTTGCCCAGGGAACAAAGAGAAGCAGGTTTATTCCTTGACTCAGGTGTAGCAGAATATGGACCGTAACATTTCAGATTCCAGGAGGAACATGAATGCCCATGTGCCACATCCTCTGTTATTTTTTAAAGTACAGTTGTCCCTCCACACTTGTGGTTTTGACACCTGATGCTTGTATTATTCACAAATTTGATTTAAGTTGTTGTCTTTAGGAATCTCTAGGTGCCCCGGTGCAATGCTGTGATCGAGTCATGCTAGAGTGTGCCGTCACACCCAGATCCTATAAAAATATAACTAAGATGTGCTTCTCTCTTTGTCTGGGCGGACCACGGGGGTCTTTCTTTAGAAGCTTAAGATTCCCAGCAACTGAGGCTACTACAGGTTTTGAACACCAAAACAGAATATTTATTTCTCAAAGTCCTTGCAGACTTGGCACAGCTTGTCAAAGTTACAAACAAAACAGTCAATTGGTGAAACCATAGAGATGATCTTTCTTTCTTTTTTCTTCAGTTACTGAGGTAACTCTTCCCCAAAAGGTAGAAAATATCCTGGGATCCTTTCACCCTAACCCTGAGCTGCTATGGTTAGAAAAACAGGTTTTTCCCTATCTATAGCTCAAGGTTAGCTTTGGAGATGAAGTACTGCTCACTAAGAATCATAGAATCATAGAATCAAAGAGGTGGAAGAGACCTCATGGGCCATCCAGTCCAACCCTGCCAAGAAGCAGGAATATTGCATTCAAATCACCCCTGACAGATGGCCATCCAGCCTCTGTTTAAAAGCTTCCAAAGAAGGAGCCTCCACCACACTCCGGGGCAGAGAGTTCCACTGCTGCATGGCTCTCACAGTCAGGAAGTTCTTCCTCGTGTTCAGATGGAATCTCCTCTCTTGTAGTTTGAAGCCATTGTTCCATCCTAGTCTCCAAGGAAGCAGAAAACAAGCTTGCTCCCTCCTCCCTGTGGCTTCCTCTCACATATGTGGAACTCTCTTCCCCGGAGTGTGGTGGAGGCTCTTTCTTTGGAAGCTTTTAAACAGAGGCTGGATGGCCATCTGTCAGGGGTGATTTGAATGCAATATTCCTGCTTCTTGGCAGAATGGGGTTGGACTGGATGGCCCATGAGGTCTCTTCCAACTCTTTGATTCTATGATTCTATATATCTGATGGAATGACCAGGGTGGGACAAAGGATTCTCGAAGAGTTGGATAAAATGGAGTCTCCTATTGTTACCTGTCCAACGAAGTGCTAGTCACCTAGAATACTAACAACAGGGACTCAAAGCGTTAAGGCAAAGCAAAGCTTTCGAGCTGGAGCGGCCCGGATGCAGAAGAGGAGGAGCATAGAAATAACAGAGGGAAGGAGGGAGGATGCTTCTGCTTCCGGTCCTGTTTCTTTTCCCCCTTTCCTCCTTCCTCCTCCTCCTCCTAGTCTTGCCTTTTTCACTTACTGGGAATGGAGAGAGAGTTGGGGAGAGCTCCTTTAATTGAAGGGGAAATGCTGGAGGAAAAGGGGGTGTTGGGATATGAACGTCGGATAAGACAGAATGTCGGATAAGCAAAAGTCGGATAGGCGAGACTCTACTGTAGCAAATTTCTCGCGAGACTATTTTCCAGGTTGTTGTAGGTTTTTTCAGGCTATATGGCCATGGTCTAGAGGCATTCTCTCCTGACATTTCGCCTGCATCTAAGCATCCTCAGAGGTAGATGCAGGCGAAACGTCAGGAGAGAATGCCTCTAGACCATGGCCATATAGCCCGAAAAAACCTACAACAACCCAGTGATTCCGGCCATGAAAGCCTTCAACAAGACTATTTTCCCCCGGGCACAGGTCAATGAAATTGCGAATATGGGTTTGTTTCACTGTCTTACTGTAATGTTGATACAGAAGTGATGGCATTTAAAATACTGGCATGTTGTAATTTTTTCTCTCTCTAACTTCCCTCTTCACCAAAGTACCAACTACCCCTGGTGCCACTACAAGTCACAGGCCCACCACAGCTCCGGGACATGGCAGCGGTGTTGTGCCTCCGGGAAGTGCCACTACTACAAAGGAGAAAACGACTGGTCTCCCTACGGTGTCCGTTGTGACAACCACAATGAAGCCAGGGCCTATATCACCCAAGGGATCAGTGCCAACAACAGTGACAAAACATGAAGGAAAGATAGACAGTGCAACCACATTGGTTCCATTGGGAGCACCAACGCCTACCCCAGATTCAAGCTATACGGCTGCAGGAACCACTGGTGCAGCAACACACTCTCCAAAACACCATCCTCCATCTCCTCCCAGTGGGACTATTCATGCTCCATTTCAAGCCCAAACAAAGGTAAACATTATGATTCAAAGCAGTCGGAAATGTTGGCTCCAGTGTCAATGGGGCATTATATCTATTTGGGATTGAACCATGAAGGCACGATCCAAGTGGAGCAATATTGGTTATCTGTTACAGAGCATAGTGCAATGTAGATGGTGCTATGTATGAGTTTGTGGTAGGAAACAGATGATGAAATATGCAGAATTAATATGAGATAAGAGTGGTCAAAGTGCTGGTTATGATCTCTAAAACCCTATATGGCTTGGATACAGGCTACTTGAAAGTCCCTCTCTCCCTGAATGAACCTGCCTATGTATAATAATGTAATCACATTGGGCCACAGCTGTGAATCAATGCAGTTTGACACCACTTTAACTTTCAGAAGGCAGGACTTTTATAGAGATCATAACCTTTTGGGAAACCAGAAATTTCCACATCCTTTTGCAAATGTGACCTTTTTGGAGATTAATTGGCATTCCCAATATTTGGAGTAATCATAACCTTTTTTGTAAAGTATGATCTTCCTGAGAAGAGTTAAATACCCGTTTGAGTGAATCTTCTCCTTAGTGGTACATATCCACTAGTATTCATACGAGGCAAATTAGGTTTTTCAGTTGTTAGACTGATATACCTAGTTATCTCTCTGAACTGTTAGGAACAAAGATATGCCAATGCACAAAATATATGGCAGATATTCAGAAGTGTTATTTCAGCTGCCCCAAAACATCTCCTCTCCCATAAAATATATTGGTTGTGAATCATGTTCTGAAGAGACCACTCCCATCGTCGTTAAAAGTAACATAGTTGATTTACTTACAAACTTCATGTATTCAGCATACAGGTACATTTCTTATTGGTTGATAGTTTAAACAGTAAGTTCTCTAAAGCGTTCTGTTTCAGTCTGTTCTTTGTTACATACAGACTAACACTCTCTTCAGTCTAATACAGTGTTCCTCAACCTTCCTAATGCCACGACCCCTTAATACAGTGTCTCCTGTTGTGGTGACCCCCAACCATAACATTACTTTCGTTGCTACTTCATAACTGTAACTTTGCTACTGTAAGGAATCATAATGTAAATATCTGATATGCAGGATGTATTTTCATTCTCTGCACAAATACCTGATATGCTCACATTGTATGTCCTTCACTAAAAAAAATGATTGTCATTTGGGAGTTGTAGTTGCTGGGATTTATAGTTCACCTACAATCAAAGAGCATTCTGAACTCCACCAATAATGGAACTGAACCAAACTTGGTACACAGAACTCCCATGACCAACAGAAAATACTGGAAGGGTTTGGTGGCATTGACCTTTGAGTGTTGGAGTTGTAGTTCACCTACATCTAGAGAGAACTGTGGACTCAAACAATGATAAATCTGAACTAAACTTGGCACAAATACTCATTATGCCCAAATCTGAACACTGGTGGAGTTTGGGGAAAATAGACATTGACATTTGGGAGCTGTAGTTGCTGGGATTTATAGTTCACCTACAATCAAAGAGCATTCTGAACTCCACCAACGATAGAATTGGGCCAAACCTCCCACACAGAACCCCCATGACTAACGGAAAATATTGGAGGAATTTGGGAGGAATTGTCAATGATTTAGGGGAGAGCACTTCTGTTCTCCCCCCCTTGGAGTCTCAGAAACAGCCCTCTCCTTGTTGAGAGGCCTACTGGCTGTTAGGAATTGTGGGAGTTGAAGTCCAAAACACCTGGAGGGGCAAAGTTTACCCATGCCTGCTTTTATGTGTCAGCTGCATTGTGTAAGTATATCACATGAATAATTTTGAATAGCTCTGAAGATGCAGAAGATGGAGTGAGCTTGTTTTCTGCTGCTCCAGATACCAGTAAATGGAAACAATAAGAAATATGGTTCAATTTAAACATTGGTGGTGGAAACTACCTTAGAGGGTTGGGAGCTCTTCTTTGGAGACAGAAGTTAGGTAGACATCTTTGAAGAGTCCTTTGGTGCATACTTCTTGCATGACTGATCGTTGGACTACTAGATGGACCTTGTGGCTTCTTCCAGTTCTAAGATTCTATGTTTTGGGTTTGTTTTTTCCTCCCCAGGTTGTTTGTGAGAAGGCAATGCCATCTGAATACCCAGGGATTATTCTGACCTTCAATGAATCCACACCATGCGTAAGTACATCTTGGTGGACTTCTCTTTTCATAAAAAATACTTCTTTTCGCAGAATCCCATCATGGCAATCATGAGAATCAATGTCAGAGGAAGCGGCATAACCTAGAAAGTTTTTTTCCCCATCTCAATAATTCTTACTAAGTTCTTGGATTGCTGCATCAGAGAGTTTAAAGCAGTTTTTTTTGGGGGGGGGGCAGCCAAAGGGAGACACAAAATGTCCTTCTGTATGGCTGGAATCACTGGGTTGCTGTGAGTTTTTTGGGCTGTGTGGACATTTTTTTCCTTTGGATACCTAGAAGAGTTATTCCTTTTGGGTTGAGCTGGCCAACTGTGAATAGTGGTGGGGCTGGTTATCCACACACAGTAAATCACACAGGGGTTTACCTTCCAGTTTCATACCTTGCTGATTTCTGGTAGATTTTGGTTACTTTTATTATTATTATTTTCGTGTCAGGAGCGACTTAAGAAACTGCAAGTCGCTTCTGGTGTAATCAAGGGTCTGGAGAACAAGCCCTATGAGGAGTGGCTTAAGGAGCTGGGCATGTTTAGCCTGAAGAAGAGAAGGCTGAGAGGAGATATGATAGCCATGTATAAATATGTGAGAGGAAGCCACCGGGAGGAGGGAGCAAGCTTGTTTTCTGCTTCCCTGGAGACTAGGACACGAACAATGGCTTCAAACTACAAGAAAGGAGATTCCATCTGAACATGAGGAAGAACTTCCTGACTGTGAGAGCCGTTCAGCAGTGGAACTCTCTGCCCCGGAGTGTGGTGGAGGCTCCTTCTCTGGAAGCTTTTAAACAGAGGCTGGATGGCCATCTGTCAGGGGTGATTTGAATGCAATATTCCTGCTTCTTGGCAGGGGGTTGGACTGGATGGCCCATGAGGTCTCTTCCAACTCTTTGATTCTATGATTCTAGAGAATCCGAGATGGGGATGCCCGGATGATTTGAGGTTTTTATCATCCTTGTGGGAGGCTTCTCTCATGTCCCCGCATGGGGAGCTGGAGCTGACAAAGGGAGCTCATCCGCGCTTTCCCCGGATTCGAACCTGCGACCTGTCGGTCTTCAGTCCTGCCGGCACAAGAGTTGTAACTCATTGCACCACCGGGGGCTCCTTTGGGCTGTGTGGACATGTTCCAGCAGCATTCTCTCCTGACGTTTTGCCTACATCTGTGGCTGGCATCTTCAGAGGTTCTTTTAGCAGTGAAGCAAGTGGAGTGTGTCTGTGTGTGTGTCTGTGTGTGTGTATGTATATCCCCAGGGATATACATACCCATGCCTGATCTACAGCCTGATCTCCAGTTGCCTGTTTTTAATTGGAGATACCCAGGATTGAAGCTGGGACCTTCTGCATGGAAAGCATCTCTTCTTTCTCCGAGCCGTGGCCCTTTCCAAGTATCAGCCATTCATAACAAATCTGTGTAATCATCATCAAGACAATTATTTTTTTCTGAAGTGGGCAAGTAATTTGAGTCCAAATGGTCGCACGATGCAATTTGTTAATGGAATCCTACACATTCATCTCTCGAGCTGCTATTTTCAGGCTTCAATTTCGACTTAACAACGGTGTGGTTTGGAAGCCGCAGAAACAAGCTCCGGATTCTTGGCATCCCCTCAAAACTGGTCCAGCTGGGATTTAATTTTTTTTTTATCATGTCATGTTTGCTCTGCATAAATCATCACCCTGCAAAGTGCTTGGAGCAATGCCCAATACATTAGAGAATTTATTACAATTCAAGTGAAAATAGAGTGTGGGACAATTATTAGCGCCAGTCAGCTTTGAAGACGTGCATTATAAAGGTTGGAAAATTGGTATTATCAGTAGCCATGTTCCAGTGCAGGGCTTGGAAGTTAAACAGGCTGAACTGTGGTGCAAGTAGCCCTGTGTGTTGTTAACTTCCTGAAGAAACAAGGTTGCCGATTACTGTATATACTTGAGTATTTCTTGTGGGATGGTTTTGGACCAATTGTGAGTATCACATCTGTGACTGTTCAAGTTCCATTATATAAATGGCATAGTAAAATTGTGGCCCTCCCTTGTAGAAACTGGCAAAATCAACATTTGCTTTTGGGATATTGTGGGTGAGTTTTGTTGCAACTCAGGGTAGTTTTCACCTTGCTCAAGACACCAACTCACACCAAGGCTGTAGGTTTTGTAGTTCATTGAGAAAAAGCAAAATCAAAACAGGGAAATAGAAATGCAAAGTTCCATAGGCAAAACAGAGTCTTAAATGTAAAGGCAAAGTTCCCAAGATTCAAAAGCAAAACCATGAAACATAATCCCTAAAAGGCATCTCTTTGCCTTTTCCCACCGAAGCGGTACCTATTTATCTACTCACATTTGCCCCTGGAGGCACAGTGGGTTAAACCCTTGTGCCGGCCAGACTGAAGACCGACAGGTCTCAGGTTCGAATCCAGGAAGAGCGTGGATGAGCTCCCTCTGTCAGCTCTGGGGACACAAGAGAAGCTTCCCATAAGGATGGCAAAACATCAAAACATCCAGGGATCTCCTGGGCAACATTCTTGCAGACAGCCAATTTTCTCACGCTAGAAGTGACTTACAGTTTTTCAAGTCACTCCTGACACAAAATTTTTTTTTGCAAGTTTCAGTGGTGCAGTGGGTTAAACCCCTGAGCTGCTGAGCTTGTTGACCAAAAGGTTGCAGGTTCAAATCCAGGGAGCAGCGTGAGCTTCCGCTGTCAGCCCCAGCTTCTGCCGTGTCGTGTCAGGAGCAACTTGAGAAACTGCAAGTCGCTTCTGGTGTGAGAGAATTGGCCGTCTGCAAGGACATTGCCAAGGGGATGCCTGGATGATTTGATGTTCTTATCATCCTTGTGGGAGGCTTCTCTCATGTCCCCGCATGAGGAGCTGGAGCTGATAAAGGGAGCTCATCAGCCTCTCCCTGGATTAGAACCTGCGACCTGCCAGCACAGGGGTTTAACCCACTGCGCCACTGGGGGCTCCTAGCTTCTGCCAACCTAGCAGTTTAAAAGCATGTAAATGTGAGTAGATCAATAGATACCACTCCAGCAGGAAGGTAACGGCGCACCATGCAGTCATGCCAGCCACCTTGGAGGTGTCTATGGACAATGCCGGCTCTTCAGCTTAGGAATGGAGATGAGCACCAACCCCCAGAGTTGGACACGACTAGACCTAATGTCAGGGGACAACCTTTACCTTTACTAGTTTGGAAAGAGCTGGAGCTGACAAACAGGAGCTCACCCTATCTTGTGGATTCGAACTGCCAACCTTCAGGTCAGCAGTTCAGCCAATCTTCAGGTCAGCAGTTCAGTGGCACAAGAGTTTAACCCATTACACCACTGTGGCCCCAACTGATCATAGTGTCTCATCTAGAGATTTCTAAAGAATGGTCTCTCATTGAAAGGAGGTGTTTCTATTCGTGATATTCCCGCTTGCGCAGCAATCCTGCATCCCTAACCCCGCTGAAAATGTAATTGCATGGCGCGAAAACCACTCTAGCTTTCTCCCAGTTCCCTGGCAAAAAAGAAGAGACACCCCTCGGTGACTGAATGAACATTTTCTGTTTCCTTTCATGTTCCCGCTGCGTGATAGCATCCCCCGGAGAGCATCTCCAATGACTTTCCCAACACCTGTTGCAAATATATAATTCATCATTTCAGAGCTGCCTCATCTGTGCCTTGCCTTTCCTTGACCTCCCTCGCTTTCCCTGCTGTTTTCGTACGCAGATGCTTCTCAGGGCTGGATGAGGAGAGAGAAGAGTTAGTTTGGGAAGGTTAAGCATCCCTTCTTCCTCCTGTTACTTCACACTTGCAAGTGTTACACCAGCCATGGGCAAACTTGGGTCCTCCAGGTGTTTTGGACTTCAACTCCCACAATTCCTAACAGCCTACCGGCTGTTAGGAATTGTGGGAGTTGAAGTCCAAAACACCTGGAGGGCCCAAGTTTGCCCATACCTGTGTTACACCATCATCATCCTACTGCGTTACCAAATAAATATCCTTATGGTGCCGTATCCTTGGACTTTCTAGCTTCCAGTCTTTACCTTTAAGCTGCCAAACTGCACAACATACTTGACCAAGTAATTGAAGTTTGTCCATATTGGAAATTCCAAAACCTGTTAGAAATACGTGTGCCATAACATTATTGACTATTCTAAAGCCTTTGACTGTGTGGGCCATAATAAATTGTGACAAGTTCTTGGTGGTATGGGGATCCCAAATCACCTTGTCTCTCTCCTGAGGAATCTGTATAAGGACCAAGTAGCAACAGTAAGAACTGACCATGGAACAACAGACTGGTTCGAGATTGGGAAAGGCGTACGGCAGGGTTGTATACTCTTACCCAACCTATTCAACTTGTATGCAGAACACATCATGCGATGTGCGGGGCTTGACGAATGCAAGGCTGGGGTAAAAATTGCTGTAAGAAACATTAACAACCTTAAATATGCAGATGATACCACTTTGATGTCTGAAAGCAAGGAGGAACTGAGGAGCCTTCTAACCAAGGTGAAAGAAGAAAGCGCAAAAGCTGGGTTGCAGTTAAACTTCAAAAAAACCAAGATTATGGCAACAAGAATGATCGATAACTGGGAAATAGAGGGAGAAAAGATGGAGGCCATGACAGACTTTGTATTTCTAGGTGCAAAGATCACTGCAGACTCAGACTGCAGCCAGGAAATCAGGAGACGCTTACTTCTTGGAAGGAGAGCAAGGACCAATCTCGATAAAATAGTGAAGAGACATCACACTGGCAACAAAGATCCGCATAGTTAAAGCAAAGGTATTCCCCATAGTAACCTACGGATGTGAGAGCTGGACCAGAAGGAAGGCTGAGCGAAGGAAGATGGATGCTTTTGAGCTGTGGTGTTGGAGGAAAGTTCTGAGAGTGCCTTGGACTGCGAGAAGATCCAACCAGTCCATCCTCCAGGAAATAAAGCCCAACTGCAAATTGGAGGGAAGGATAGTAGAGGCCAAGATGAAGTACTTTGGCCACATCATGAGAAGAAAGGAAAGCTT